ATACGGTAGAGTTATAATTGAAAGAATTAGAGGTAAGACAGAATGTAGAATTGCGGATGAGCAAGGAGGCTTCAGAGTGGGTAGGGGATGTGTAGATCAAGTGTTTACATTGAAGCATATATGTGAACAGTATTTAGATAAAGGTAGGGAAGTTTTTATTGCATTTATGGATTTAGAAAAGGCATATGATAGAGTGGATAGAGGAGCAATGTGGCAGATGTTGCAAGTTTATGGAATAGGTGATAAGTTACTAAATGCTGTAAAGAGCTTTTATGAGGATAGTGAGGCTCAGGTTAGGGTGTGTAGAAGAGAGGGAGAATACTTCCCGGTAAAAGTAGGTCTTAGACAGGGATGTGTAATGTCACCATGGTTGTTTTAATATATTTATAGATGGGGTTGTAAAAGAAGTAAATGCTAGGGTGTTCGGGAGAGGGGTGGGATTAAATTATGGGGAATCAAATTCAAAATGGGAATTGACACAGTTACTTTTTTCTGATGATACTGTGCTTATGGGAGATTCTAAAGAAAAATTGCAAAGGTTAGTGGATGAGTTTGAGAATGTGTGTAAAGGTAGACAGTTGAAAGTGAACATAGAAAAGAGTAAGGTGATGAGGGTATCAAATGATTTAGATAAAGAAAAATTGGATATCAAATTGGGGAGGAGGAGTATGGAAGAAGTGAATGTTTTCAGATACTTGGTTTATGAAGGATGAGGTTAATCATAGAATTGATGAGGGAAAAAAGGTGAGTGGTGCGTTGAGGTATATGTGAAGTCAAAAAACGTTATCTATGGAGGCAAAGAAGGGAATGTATGAAAGTACAGTAGTACCAACACTCTTATATGGATGTGAAGCTTGGGTGGTAAATGCAGCAGCGAGGAGACGGTTGGAGGCAGTGGAGATGTCCTGTCTAAGGGCAGTGTGTGGTGTAAATATTATGCAGAAAATTCGGAGTGTGGAAATTAGGAGAAGGTGTGGAGTTAATAAAAGCATTAGTCAGAGGGCAGAAGAGGGGTTGTTGAGGTGGTTTGGTCATTTAGAGAGAATGGATCAAAGTGAATCATGGAAAGCATAATAAATCTTAGGGGAGGAAAGAGGGGTAGGGGTTGTCCTCGAAAGGGTTGAAAAGGGGTAAAGGAGGTTTTGTGGGCGAGGAGCTTGGACTTCCAGCAAGCGTGCATAAAGAGTGTTAGATGGAGTGAATGGAGACGAATGATACTTGGACTGACGATCTGTTGGAGTTGAGCAGGGTAATATTTAGTGAAGGGATTTCAGGGAAACCGGTTTATTTTCATATTGTCGAACTTGAGTCTGGAAATGGAAGTACAATGCCTGCACTTTAAAGAGGGATTTGGGTATTGCATTTTGGGAAAGGGGTATTTTTGTGTATCTTTATACGTATATGCTTCTAAATGTTGTTTTCTGAGCACTCTGCAAAAGCAGTGAAAATGTGTGAGTGTGTGAAAGTGTTGAATGATGATGAAATATTTTTTTTTTTGGGATTTTCTTTCTTTTTTTGGTCACCTGCTCGGTGGGAGACGGCGACATGTTGAAAAAAAAAAAAAAAAAAAAAAAAAAAAAAAAATATATATATTTATATATTATATATATATATATATATATAATATATATATTTTAAATATTATAAATATATTATATATTAATTAAAATAAAAAATTTTATATAATATATATTATATATGTATATATATATATATATATAATATATATTACGTATATATTATATATATATAATGTATAATATATATTATTATATATATATTATATTATATATATATATATATATATTATTTATATATATATATATTTATATCGTGCGAATATGTAAAACTGGCAATTAGCAAGAACTTTTTTAAAATTAATTTCTTTCTAAAAATTTCTCTTATACGTTTAAAGATATATTTTTTTCATTAATGTTAATGTAAAAAAAAATAATTTTGCTCCAAAAGAATCTTAGAAAACTTACCCAACCTTATTATAACAAGTGCAACTTATTTTAGCCTAACCCAACTAAATATATTTTAGATTTGCTTACAATAATTTAATACTAAACAGACACGTGAAATATATTTTTTTCGTTAGGTTTTAGAATGATTTTTGCGAAATTACTGCATACACCCAAAATTTTTACTTGTCTTATATGGCAAGATGAACGTTGCTATTTAAGCCAAGATCGCAAGTTCTGCCTATTCGGCACCGATATATATAAAATATATATATATATATATATATTATATATATAATATATATATTTTATATTTTATATATATATATTATATATATATATATACATATATATATATATATATCTTTATATACAACACTGATCTCTGTGGCTGAAGGAGACTCGAACCTACGAACCTTGGAACAAGGTACACAGTGCTTTACCAATCTACCCACACTGGACCAATACCTTGAAGTCAAGCTTGCGCTAGACTTTGATCCAAGGCAGCCAGCTTTCATAGAGAAGGCTTACAGCTTTTCATCTCATCCCTGCATGCATCAGCCTTACTAGAGATATTAACAATGCAAGGAATTCGCAAGAGCAGGCGAAATATACACAAACATTGCTGATGCATGCAGGGGATGAGATGAAAAACTGTAAGCCTTCTCCCCGAAAGCTGGTGCCTTTGATCAAAGTCTAGCGCAAGCTGGACTCCAAGGTATTGTTCAGTGTGGGTAGATTGGTAAAAACATGCATACCTTGTTCCAAGGTTCGTAGGTTCGAGTCTCCTTCAGCCAGAGATCCTGGTTTGTGTTATTTTCGCTGCTCTTGCGAATTTCCTTGCATATATATTATTATATATATATTATATATATATATATATATATATATTTATATATATATAATTTTATATATTATATATATATATAAATATGTTACAAGAAACGCGATTCTAAAAGCTTAGAGATCTCCAGTGAATACTAGAAAGGACTGCCCTTCTAGCATCCAGCCTGTTACTGGGTTTTCGTAACAATTAGTCAGTGTCCTTGTCCAATTATCCATTAGAATTCAATAAGAATTATTAGTGCTTCAGGATTACAACTGGTAGGCTACTAACTAGAGAAATTAAAATTTAATAAATTTATTAATCAAGTTGTCTAGAGGTATATTAAATTAAATTAAATTAATCACAGTAATCAAAATAATATTAATCACTTCTCTCGTGTACAGTATTATTGTGCTGAAAGCACATACCACATTTATAATTCTTAAGCACCGTCTGGTACATTAATATTTAATAATACAATATACAAATAAGTTTGTGTATGTGTGTAAGTGCTCTAAGTAGTTCGCTATGTCTCACGACTCGACTAGACTTAAACAAGTGACTGACAAAGTCCTCACATAAACTAACTTCTTGACCAACTGGCAATCAGAACAGTCTGCTTGAACAACAAAAAGAATGCTAAGCCCAATAGCAATATAACAAGATACTGCGACAGAATCAGGATCAAGGAGATAATATAACGACACTAAGTAGGGACCATCAGCAGATCCTCCACAAAAGTCACCAAACTCCCATAATACTGAATCTCAGTTCAGCATAAGAAAATCCCCGACTGTGACAGTACACAGATACCAGTACAAGTTAGGTCAGAAGCTACAGCTCAGGACCTGAGTTGCTCAGAGTGTCTAAGCGACACACAACCTCAATACAACGTCGAAAATCACTAAGTCTATACAATGTTCTGTGAACAGTCTCCAGAACTACCAACAATGAGACAAGAGACGATCTTCCAACAAGGGACTATAAGGAAGAATTAGGCACTTGTCAGGAATACGTCCAACCACCAAGCGAATCTAGACCAGACTGAATACTTCAGGCGAGGTGAGAACACCCCACCCCACCTCTCTATCATGTGATAGCTCCGTGGACAGTTGCTGCCCAGCAACAGAAGCAGGCAGAGTAACGAGCCACAAGCGATAATTACAGTAGTTAGACAATCAAAACTTGAACTATGAGCACATAATATATGTGTTACATCCTACCTAACAGCATAACTAAGTCAAATAATAATATAAAGCAATATATTTACGATTTAGCTATTATCGCAAATATAAGCAATATAAAATTATATGAAAAGGTAATATACATTACATATATATACATCATATGCATTGTAACCCATTCAGGGGTTGCAACTAATATATAAATATATATATATATATATATATTTTATATATATATATATATATATATATAATATATATATATATATATATATATATATATTACAGGGACATAAGCCAACAGCATCAATTTTCCCAGTGGGGTCAGACCTTTGGATCATGGGGGAAAAAATGCCACACGTTTCCTTAAAGAACTGGATTCCAGATTGAACAACACCACCAGGGAGCCAAGGGTAGCCACTTTCATGTTCCAGCGCCTCTGCATGGCCATCCAGAGGGGAAATGATTGCTGCATACTTGGCTCGCACTCGACTTCGAAGGAGCTGGAGGAGATTCATAATCTTTGATATATTGTACTAATGTATTCATGTTTGTGTTTTCTGTCAATGTATTCTGTCTGTCAAAAAAATTTCATATAGAATGTAAAATAGAAAGGGTGGTAGGAAAAGAAAATATTAAAAAGCTCCGGAGAGAACCTTGAGTTTTCCCTGAGGTACCTTTATTGTCTTCTCTGAGGACAAGGGTCCCCAGTAAAGTTCCAGAGGTGGTACCTCCCCATATATATATATATATATATATATATATATATATATATATATATATATATATATATATATATATATATATATATATATATATATATATATATATAATTTGTTTATCATTGCTATTGTTCCTGGAGGATGAAATTAAAAATAGCTAATCTCCGCCAATATGGTGGGATTAAATATCCATGGTTATATTTGGTCGTTAACTAAATTAATTTCGGGTTTACCTCACGTAATCTGTGTACCACGTCCTTCCTTAGGTAGTTAAGCTCATGAGTGTCATAAACATCCTCTACAGAATGGTGTGTTGTCTTCTGTTCCTTACCTGATTATGTGGATCTTCAGCGTTGTGTTTGGTGGCATTGCTGACAGGCTCCTCGACGCTGGCAAGATCTCGAACCTGGCCATTAGAAGGATCTCCATGAGCATCGGTGAGTGGTGAAATTAACAAAATTATTTGCAGCAATGTCGTCTGTCACGTATTGAGTTTATTAAGTGTGTGGTCCTGTCCTCTTTTTTTGTGGTGAGGTTACCATATGATCTCTATCTACTGTAAGGATAATGTGTGTGTGGCCCTATCCTCTCTTGTTCTGAGGTGATAATGTATTTAACTCTTCTCTTTCTTGAGTTCGATGGATTCTGTGTATAGTCCAGCCTTGATTGTGTGACCATACACTCTTTCTCTTTCCCTCTCTTCACAATTGACTGGTTACACACAGGAAACATAGCTGTACTTTACTAAGAAATATCTGGATGGGTAAACGTAATAATTAGTCTCAGCATCTGCTCTTGTTGTCATCCTGGCGTTATTTGCAATTTTTGTGGATAACGCCAATTTAGTTACATGCAGCATACGAAGAGGATTATCTCAGTATTCAAAGTGACCTAAAATTGTTGTTGTAGTTTAAATACGTGAAGACGAGTCTCAGTTTGGATAAGTAATTGAAAATAACAATTTGGACAAACTGCACAAAGTAATCGACGAAAAGGACCTTTTAGAAATCACATTCATTGACCTAACAAGAAGCAAACAATGCATAAATGGGAGAAGTAAAGCCAATAAAATGCAAGGATACATAAGAACTTCGATATTCAATATTTAAGGAACTTGTCAAACCGCATCGTAATTATGCCGACCAGTTTTGATTTTTAGATTACATAAAAGATAAGGATGTACTTGCGAGAGTACAGAGACAAGGTACCAGACTTCAAGCATTACTCACAAATAAGTCACACGAAGAAAAACTGTTAGCACTCAGCATTTTTAGGCAACGGAGACAGATTAGATCTTATTCAAGAGACTGAATAGCTTTGAAACAGTCATGGAAAACTATTTGAAGAGCTGAATGAACCTTTAACTCGGTGAAATGATACCGTGAGGCAGAAGTCGCAGTACGAACGTATGCAAAGGATTTTCTGCAAACAGAGACGTAGCACAATGGAATAAACTAAAGGTGGGCAAATATCTCACAAGTGTAGGTTTCAATTATATACATAATTCAGGGACAATCTGAAGTCAATGGATTACATATGGTCACTCTGCAACTGCAACAGGACAACGAGACTAGGTAGTTTGTAACATTAGTAGTTGCAGATATAAGTAATTGTAGAAAGTATAACGATGCCTGCGTTATGGATGAAAGAACACATGTTCAAACATACACTTGGGACATTTTTGTTAGATATTTTTCGCTCCTGATCACTCTAAATATTGTAAGAAAATGAAGAGACACCACTTTGTATATAGTGGAGAAAGCATGTTACTTGTGAAGATGTGGTGAAGGCATTAGGTTCTACATGGCATCAGAGAAGAGACATGGAGAAATATTATACGTGTAAGGATAACTGAGATGACTGAGTTGCCTGTTTTTTTTTTCAGTGGGATTGGAATATCAATTAAGGATACTTCATTTCAGTGGCGTCTATCAGTGTTGGATTCCCTGCGGATTAATTCTGCTTTGTTTCAGAGTATATGATATTCCCCCCTAGAGCTTTACTTTTTCAATACCATAGAACAAAGAGCAGACAAATCCATCATATCAACTACCCTTGGACTTTGTTGAGAAATGGTTTACCAGCTAAGTTTAAAAATAGGAAAATCTTAGCTTAGAAGGACAGCTCATCGCCTGCACAGCCGCCTCTGCAGACGAGGTCTTGAGTAGCTGTCTTGATCACTTCTCAATGGGCTGAAATGAATTATATTTTGTAAGATTATAAATTACCCCTAGGGGGTGTTATGTCAGCATATTTCATTCACTGATTGCTGACAAACTTACGTGTGTGGACTCAAAAGTCCGCTTATCACCGGGGTTTATGATAAGTGACTTACTCATAACTTTGACTCAACTGTGCAGTCAATAGTAGTACATCACGAGTTAGAACACTTACCTGGGTATATGTATCTGACCTGTAGTTATGCCCAGATATCCGATGAGTTGATTGAAGAATAGTGTTCTTTGAAGGAATTTCGCACTACACTCTGTTGGATCGCAACACTTGTTGTTACACTGTTCATCAATAATTGTTCACACAATATCACTAAGAAGTTGATCACACTTCTCTGTAAGTGTTTATCATGTTTTGTGAGACACTTTGTTCACACTAACGCACAGATCAGTGTTCCTTGTTGGTTATTCCAGCGTCAATGTGACTCCCAGTAGGGTCAAAAGAAATCTCAAGACGCCACAGCCTCCTACACCATCACTACCCCTAGCACATAAAGGAAAAGCTGACCTAGTACTTTTTGCTTCCTTGTTAAACTTCCACTATAAAGCAAAGCAGAATGCTTGAATCTTGCTGTCTTAAGCATAGACAACAATGTACACTATCTTTACCATGGTAATAAAGTGGGAGCAGGATTTTCCTTAATTGTCCTGCTAAGGTAAGAGATGGACTGTCTTTTATTAAACTACACTTTGCAACACTGGACTTTGCAAGGAGCATCAGTCGCTTGACCACGTCGCATTCTCGTACTGCATCTGGGATCATTTACTTGTTGTAGCAGTAAACAAGATGCTTGCCCCTTCTGAGAGGGCTGGGCCCCTCAGGGCTGAAAGGGGCTGAAGGGGGATGAAAGGGGCTGATACCCCCCTCCTGGAGAAAATTTCTCCACAGATTTATAATACAACACCACACTGATTCTCTCGTGCTTCCTAACATGGCGATTAACTTGACACCTGATCTTAACCAATGATAAGCTTTCTCTGCTAAAAACAGTTTTCTCTCATTATCGTATATAAGTAGAAGTGACCAAGGTCTCAGGATCGAAACGTGTCTAATAAAGATGTAGGTGCATGCATGAGTGTCCTATCATCACAGCAGAACTAGTGGTAACCAGAGTAGAAGTACTGTTAAACTCAGCCCTGTGAGCACCAGTGGAGTATAAGATGAGTTGGTAAAATAGAAACAGTACTATTTAAGTACTCGTAGTTGAAGGCCATTCCCTCCATCAAGTATCATCTCTTCAACTAAGTCCATGCCATTATTCAATATGGAATGTTCTATTTTTCTCCGATTGGCCAGTCATAGCCAGAGGGAGTTGAGGGTGGAAAAAAGCCGTCTTCACTTCTGTCTTTCATTCGTACACTTAGTTAATAGACGATAGTTATTAATATAGGAAGTAGGTAGTTCTTCGGTTATCTGTCCTTGCAATGTGTTCTCTCTCTCTCTCTCTCTTTTTTTTTTTGCACAGGGTTTGACAAGGTTAAGGATTCCTAGCTTTATTGACAAGCTATTTACAGGTTAATTATTATTATTATAATAAAAAAGAAGCGCTAAGCCACAAGGGCTATACAGCACTGCAGGGTAGGGAAGGAAGCGAGGGTATTGGGAGGCAGAAGGAGGGAGGGATGATCAGTAGGTTACAGAAAACAGCGGGGCATAGGATAGTGCGGGGGTAGAGGGTAGCAACAAATTGAGGTAGAAAGGGCTGAAGGCATCAGAGTTTGTGAAGTAAGTCAGCTGTTGTCAAAAAGTCAATGAGAGAGTCCGTATGAAAGGTGGGTCCATCAGCGAGAAGGGAAGGTAAAGAGAGAGCAGCGGAGCGAAGACGACGATGGAGGTAAATTCTGCGTGCTCGCTGATAAAGTGGGCAGTCCAACAGAATGTGGCTGACTGATAATGGAGTCTGACAATTCTCACAGAGAGGAGCAGGGCGCCTCTCCGTGAGGTATCCATGAGTAAGACGAGTATGGCCAATGCAAAGACGGGAGAGAGTAGTCTCCCAACCTCGACACTGGTGACAAGAAGACGACCAGTAACCTATACTCGGTTTAATAGATTGAAGTTTGTTACCGAGCATAGTAGACCAACGTTGTTGCCAACGGGTGTGAAGGTGGGTAGCTATTGCAGCAAAATAGTCCGTAAATGGAATACCTCTATATGAAACTGGTAGGTCATGTACTGCTGACCACGCAGCAGTGTCTGCCTGTTCATTGCACTGTACGTCAACATGAACAGGGACCCAACAAAAAACAATATCTTTATGCTTGGTGAAGATGCGGCATAGCCAAAGTTGGATACGGAGGACTAAGGGGTGAGGTATATCAATTTTCTGTATAGCCTGTAAAGCACTAAGGGAGTCTGAAACAACCACAAATGATGACACAGGCATAGATGCAATATGGATAAGTGCTGCAAGAATGGCATACATTCAGCAGTAAAAATACTAGCCAAAGATAGTAAATGCCATCGTACGACGCTGTCCGGAAACACTGCTGCCAGTCCTATGCCATCAGAAGACTTAGAGCCATCTGTATACACTGCAATGGCATGGGAATGAGAGTGGAAGTGGTCAAGAAAAAGAGAGTGAGAAGCGACCGTAGGCAGTTGGGCTATCGAGCAAGGGAGAGAGAAAGAACAGACTCGAACAGCTGGAACTTCCCTGGGGGTAGGGAAAAGTGAGATGCTACATGAACATAGAAAGGTGGTAATTGAAGAGAAGACATGAGCGAATGTAGGCGAAGAGAGAAAGGACGGAGTAAACAGGGGTGGCGAACAAATAAAGAATGTCTACTAATATCAGTGACCATTCTATAAATGGAAGGATTGCGGAGATCATGAGAGCGTACATAGTAGCGAAGGCAATGGGCATCACGGCGATCGGATAAGGATGGAACGTTCGCTTCTGCATAGAGGCTCTCATCAGGGGAAGAGCACCAAGGCATAAACGTAATCCTTGGAGATGAATGGGGTTAAGGTTAGAGAGAGTAGCAGAAGCCGCTGAATAGATCTGGTCACCATAATCAAGTTTCGATAAAATGAGGGTGGAATGTAGGCGAAGGAGAGTTCGACGATCAGCTCCCCATGAAAGATGAGCAAGGGTTTTAACAAGGTTCAGCCGGCTGTGACAAGTTGCCTTCAGAGAGGTGATGTGAGGTTTCCAGGATAACTTACGGTCAAAGAAGAGGCCCAGAAACCTGACTGTATCACG